TAATTTGTCCTCTACTCCCGATGATCTTGTCATTCAGTACAATAACGGTCTGGTTTCTATCCTTAATTCATTTGCTCCCATCAAATCCCGCTCTGTATATTTTACTCGGTCTGCTCCATGGTTCACCCCTGCCCTTCGCTCCTTGAAAGCTACCAACCGGAGGCTTGAAAGACTCTACAAGAAAACCGGTCTCACCATCCATAAAGACTTATATTCTGCTCAGATTTCTCTCTACAAGGACTCCATCTCCCATGCCAAATCTCAGTATTACTCCGGTCTCATCTCGTCCAACTCCAGCAACACTAAAACATTATTTTCCATCATGAACAGCATTTTTCAGCCTCCCGACTCCTTACCCATCCATCTTTACTCTTCAGAAACCTGTAACTCTCTCCTTCAGTTTTTTAATGAGAAGGTCAATAGAATCCATCTCTCTTTACCTCATTCCTCCCCTCCCTCTCCTGATTTATTTGAACCCACCATTCCGTTCTCCTCCTTTGAACTTCCCCATCCCTCAGAAATATTAGATTACATCACCAAATCCAAACCTTCCACCTGTCAACTGGACCCTATTCCAACTGTTTTAGTTAAATCCTGCCTTTCTTCTCTGCTCCCTTTTATAACAGCCATTATTCATTCCTCACTATCCTCTGGTACGGTCCCATCCCTATTCAAATCTGCTTCAGTCAGCCCTATTCTAAAAAAACCTGGTTTAGATCCCAATGATTTCAATAACCTCCGTCCCATTTCCCATCTTCCCTTCATTTCCAAAGTCCTTGAGAAAACTGTTGCATCTCAGCTCCATTCACATCTCACCCGCAATAACCTTTATGAACAGTTTCAGTCTGGCTTCCGTCCCCACCACAGCACAGAAACAGCTCTCATCAAGATCACTAACGACCTACTCATTGCTGCTGATTCTGGTTTAATCTCTATTCTTATTCTCCTCGATCTGAGTGCGGCCTTTGACACCATTTCTCATCCCATCCTCCTTAATAGACTCTATTCCTTAGGCATCACTCACACCCCCCTCCGCTGGTTTCAATCTTACCTTACTGGCCGCACTCAGTTCATCCAGTTAAAATCCTTTACCTCAGAACCCTCCCCAGTCAAGTCAGGTGTGCCCCAGGGCTCTGTCCTGGGGCCCCTCCTCTTCATAGTATATCTCCTCCCTATCGGCAAAATCTTCCGCAAATTCAATATCCAGTTTCACTGCTTTGCAGATGACACCCAGCTCTACATTTCCAGTAAGCCCAACTCAACTCTCCCACCATCCTCCCTTACACTCTGCCTCTCTGAAATCAAATCATGGTTCACCTCTAATTTCCTCAAACTCAACGGCAATAAAACTGAACTTCTTCTAGTTGGCACTAACTCCACCCTCTCAACATCTGACAGCTTTTCTTTAACTATTGACAGTGCCACAGTCTCCCCCTCACCTCATGTCAAGAGTCTGGGTGTCATTCTCGACAGCTCCCTTTCTTTTCAGGCTCACATTAATAACTTAATTCGGTCAGCATACTTCCATCTACGTTCCATAAACCGTCTTCGTCCCTCACTGACCCCTCACACTGCCGCCATTCTCGTCCACAGCCTCGTCACCTCCCGTCTCGACTATTGCAATTCACTTCTTTATGGTCTCCCCAACAAACTCCTTCATAAACTGCAACTGGTCCAGAATTCAGCAGCCCGTATTATCACCAGAACCCCTTCCTTTCACCACATCACGCCGGTTCTCCAGCAGCTCCACTGGCTCCCAGTTAAATTCAGGCCCATCTTCAAAATTCTCCTCCATACCTTCAAAGCAATCCACAACCTCTCTCCTCCATATATCTCAGACCTTATAAGTATTCACACCCCGTCCCGTTCACTCAGATCTTCTTCTTCCATCCATCTTGCGGTTCCTTCTGCCCGTCTCGCTACCATGGGGAGCAGAGCTTTCAGCCGCTCTGCTCCTCGACTCTGGAACTCACTTCCCCCAGACATCAGGAACATCGACAGTTTTACCCTTTTCCAATCAAAACTCAAAACACACATGTTTAAATCTGCCTACAACCTCTGATTTTATTGAAATGTTTCTCTCTGTTTTTTCTTCTTTGGGTTTTATTATTGTTTTATTGTATTTTATTACGTGTTTTGTGTAAAGTGACCTTGGGTGTCCTGAAAGGCGCTTTGAAATAAAATGTATTATTATTATTATTATTATTAGTTCCATTACAATCCACCCAGTGGCCAAAAAAAAAAAAAAAAAACACACACAAAACCATAAAAATAACTTCATCCTGCAGTCTCAGATGGACGTTCTGGTGTATTGTTGACCTGTGACATTTCCCTGATTCTCCCACTGTTAATTTTCTGTTGAACTCTTGAAACTGCTCCATGTTTAATTTGTGCCACTCAGCAGAGGCAGGACTGCTGCTTATTAATGAAGTTTCTGCTCTGGGCCAGGCCCGTTTCAGCTGGCGTCCTACAGCTGAGGCATCTCCAGCGCTCAGGGATGAGCAGGAATAATGTTTGATTGTTAAATTGAGTGCAGAACTATTGTTCAGTGCAGAAACCGTTATTTCCAACCATCATTTTAACACATCGTCCCACAACTGCTGCATCACCAGCTTTCTGTTTGATAATCCTGCCATTAATAATCACTGCAGCTCATTTGTGCAGCAAAACTGTTTTGTCCTCAGGGTGTTTCAATGGGAGGGGGGTTGCAGATGGAGACTGCGGTGTACCGACCTTCAACATGTTCAAGCTGAGCAGATTAAATATAACAAATCAGGTTGTGATTTAACTGCAGTTGGAAGAAGAGCAATCCCAATGGAGTTTAGAATAATATAACAAGTCTGTGTAACATGTGAAAAGGGGAAGTTATGGCAAACTTTCATCAGTATTTGAATAATATTACACTGTATTCAAAATTGTATATTTATCTGGCTATATGTTTCTTTAAGACAGATTTTTTCACTTTGTCCAGGAGGAGCCAGGCCTTGAATCTCACTACCTTTGTGATTGTAAACTGGTTGAAAGAAAACTACATTATTATAAACATTCTGATAAGGGTTTCTACAATCCAGTCCAGTAATTTTTGGAACAGAAAAATCATTCACCCATATGTGTTTGTTCAATTTAAAAACAAACAAACAGGCTATTAAAGGTGTGGTTCACTAGAAAAAACATCTTTTAATAATTATTTCTGATTATAATCAGTCACTCAGTTTTTCAGGCTGAACACGAAAATAGTCTCCTACAACTATCTCCAGTGTTAGCTTCTGATGGAAAATAGACGGTGAAACTCTGGAATATGAAAAGCCTGACATGGACTCACCCATCTTGACTCTCGACAGCAAGGTTGTGGTTGTTTTAGCATCCAGGAAACAGCAGAGAATGTCTCGGCTAGGAGAAGCTAACTGATAGCAACTTCACCACACTGCAGATCTCCTACTAGCTTGTGTTATTTGTGGATATAAAACATCTGCATTACAGAGAAAACAAAGTCAGTGGTAGACTCACATTGCTGTTATCCAATCAGAGGTGAGATGTCCAAACATCAGGAGTCCAAATCCTGTTGTGTTAAGCTCTCCTCTGATGTGGTTGGCTGCTAGTTCCTCAAACAAGTGTATCTAATTCTCCTCCCCAAGTACAACTTACAAAGCATTCACTCCTACTAGAGACCACTACAAATGTACTGATTAAATGAGTGTCCCACACCTTTAAATCCATATCGCTACTGAAGTATAAAAAGGTAAATGAACTGCATTTGTGCTGCACTTTAAGTCTAAGAAGAAGAAGATCTTTTATATGGTGCCTCTCAAGATGAAAATATTGAGGTGCTTCACAAAACCAAAAAGCAAAAAAAAAGTATAAAAAGATTTTAAAAATTATTAAAAATATGTTTAAAGGGAGAAAAGAACAAAAAAATTGTAAGGAAAGGCAGAGAGAAAATGAATGGTTAAGAGGGAAATCGATGTATCCCAGGAAAGGCGGAATAGGCAGAAAGAGCAGAACTAGGACTAGGTGGTGATGAAGGTCACACCAAAGCCAGCCTGAACAAGTGAGTTTTCAGCTGCTTTTTAAAGGAGACCACTGAGTCCACTGATCTCAGGCTCAGGGGGAGAGTTCCAGAGTCTGGGGGCCACAACAGCAAATGATCTGTCACCTTTGGTCTTCAGCCTGGTGCTACACAACCAGTAGGCTTTGATCACTGGACCTCAGGGACCTGCTGGGGGTGTAGGGACTGAAAAGATCACCAATGTAGGATGGTGCTTGTCCATGTAAGGTCCTATAGACCAGAACCAGGATCTTGAAATGAACCCTGAAGTTGACTGGCAGCCAATGAAGCTGGAGGAGAAGCGGGGTGATGTGGGTGTGTTTGGAGGACTTGGTCAGAATCTGATCACAGACATTCTGAACCACCTGCAGACGGTTCAGGGAGGTTCTGCTCAGACACGTGAAAAGAGAGTTGCAGTAGTCTAAGCGTGAGGAGATGAAGGTGTGGAGAACTGTCTCAAGTTCAGAGCGGGACAGAATGGGACTCAGCTTAGAAATGTTCCTGAGATGGAAGAAGGAAGAGCGAACAAGATAACACACGAGAATCCAGGGTGAGAGCTGGGTCAAAGGTCACACCAAGATTCCTGACAGAAGGTTTGGTGTGAGAAGCAAGCAAAGGGCTCATTCAGGTGGTGATGGTGGTGGTGATAAGCTAGAGCTGTAACCTTTGGTGCTAAGCAAGTTCAATATAATCTGATTTAATGTTAAAATGAGCTTCACTTTTATTTTACTATACCACTTTATTTATAGAGCGTTTTTAACACAGCATTACAAACGACCAAAGCACTGCACATAATAAAACAACACAGCAAGCAAGAATCACATGTCATATAAACAATTAAAAAGAACAACAAAGTAAGGTCAAACAAGCAAGGTGGAACCACAATGCAAGATGCACAGATTTAAATTTTAGCATTGATGCTTTGTTACTCAGTTTATCCCATTCCCTCTTTTAGGATCTTGGAGCTGCAGGAGAAAGGCGACCTGGATATCATGAAGCAGAAATGGTGGCCCCGTATGGGTCGCTGCGACCTCAGTAGCCACGCCAGCGCACACCCAGACGGCCGCTCCCTCAAGCTGCACAGCTTTGCTGGTATCTTCTGCATCCTGGCCGCCGGCCTGCTGCTGGCCTGCCTGGTGGCCGGGCTGGAAGCATGGTGGAACAGCAACCGCTGCCGGCAGGATCAGCCCAAAGAGGTGACCGAGCATAGGGCCCGGCGGACAGGCCAGCACGGGGAGGACACTGCCACACTCTACTTTAAGGATCCAGCCACAGACATGAGCCCCGACTTAGTAGAGCTGCAGTACACCCAGCTGTAGAGGAGAGACTCAGATTAGGATTAGTGGGACCGAGGGAGGCGAGGTAGGACTGAGCCTTTTCAGCCCAGGCCACAAATTGAAATCAAATTTGGTCTCTTATTATTAATTATTATCAAACACCTTTATTATTTTATTCTCCATCACTCCCTTCCACCTCTTTTTGACCCAAGAAACAAGACTCCATTTATTTTTGTTTCACAGATGCCTAAAATCACACAACACACTCAACTCAACCATTACTTGTACTAATTCACTCATAAAGCTAAATTTTATTGGTGCTTATGCCAGTGGCCAACTGAGAGAGAAGTGTTGAATTAGCTCAGGAAGCCAGGATCTGCCTCTTAACTTGTCCTGCATGTTCCCAACAAACCTCAGAGCGCAGCATGCAGCCGCACACTCTAACGATTCGTTCCCACAGCGACGGCTTTGCAGCCATTTAACAGCTCCTATTGAGTTATTGTTGTGAACTCATTTTCTGCCGTAAAGCTTTGGTAATTTCCTGCACCCAAGGGTTGTGAAAAGACCTGATAATTAGCAGGAGAATGAGCGATCACTCAGGCGGACGGTGTAATGGTGTCAAACACACACACTCTCGTAAGAGCAGTGGACATTTTCCATTTCGGTGTGAGACAAAGGAGTCATTTAATTGTTACTTTGTCCCACTTTTTCCTAATTATTAGCTGTTGTTGCTAAAATGTTCTGCTCTTAGTAAGTGCATGCTGAACACTAACAATATCATATTTTTATTTCTAATAGAAAAAAAAAACACCACTAGTGGTACAACAGCTCAGCTTCCTGGTTAATAAATACTCTAATATCTAAGCAGGCTGTTCTAGCAAAGCACAGAGGGCAGTTCTGTGGGTGACTTCAGGTGTTTGAACTAATTTATACATAGACTGGTTATGTTTAAATTAGTCAATGCAAGCAAGCAGGTAATTGACTGTCACTGGTTTCTTCGACCAACGGACCACATTTAGTGTCGACTATCCCTAAAAATATGGAATCCTCTCGTATTTGTGTTACTTCTCAAATCAATAATTTCTGCATTTTAGGTCACAATGAATGCAGCAGGTCAGACATTGAGCTTGGAGACTTTCACATACTCCCCTCCAACCCCAAAGCTTTCCTCATTGAACTATGAGAGGTGGTGTTTGCTGCATTGCAAGAATAATACACTGCCTTGCCAAAAAAAGTCACCACCAAAAAAAAAGAGGTCCCCCCTTTATTTTGTTGGACCACCTTTGGCTTTGATTACAGCACACACTCGACGTGGCGTTTCTTTAAGCTTCTGCAATGTCACCAGATTTATTTCCATCCAAGATTTTGCATTGATGATGGTAGAGTCTGACCGCTGCACAAAGCCTTCTCCAGCACATCCCAAAGGTTCTTAATGGGGTTAAGGTCTGGACTCTGTGGTGGCCAATCCATGTGTGAAAATGATGTCTCATGCTCCTGAACCACTCTTTCACTATCTGAGCCCGATGAATCCTGGCATTGTCATCTTGGATTATCCCCGTGCCATCAAGGAAGATGGTAAAACCTGGTCATTCAGTCATCTTTAGTATGTTCTTTCAGTATCTTCAGGTAGTCAGCTGATCTCATTCTGTTACTGAACCTAGACCTGACCAACTGCAGCTACCCCAGATCATAGCACTGCCCCCACAGACTTGTACAGTAGGTACTTGGCATGATGGGTGCATCACTTCATCTGCCTCTCTTCTTACCCTGATGCACCATCACTCTGGAACAGGGTCCACCTGGACTCATTAGACCAGTTTTAACAATGAGTTGGACAGTTAATAACCCAGTTTTAGTCGTTTCTACAACCTCCTTAGATGTTTTCTCTGCTTGATGCCAATGATCTGACCTTTCTCAAACAGACTAACATATTTTCCACGATCACCAGATGTGTCATTCCACATGTTGTTTAAGAAATGAGAAGCAGCTCATTGCACCAGTTGGGGTTAAATAACTTGTTGCCAGCTGAAAGATAATCACCCATGTAATAATTATCCAATAGGAGGTTCCTACCTATTTGCTTAGTTAAATCCAGGTGGTGACTTTTTATTGGTCATGCAGTGAATGATTACTGAATGAGGAATAAAAGGATGAAAGAAGAATCTAACAGGAATATTTGATCTGCAAAAATCCAAAAGGACTGACAATAATTTACCTGCAGATAGAATGAATGAAGGAGAAGGTTAATGAGGGGCTGTGCTTAGTCCAACACCAGGATTTAAGTTTTACTCACAGAGGAATCAGTAATATCAGTCCTCTGTCACCTGGGAAGATGATGAGGAAAGTATTCGGTTTCTTCCCAAGACTCATAGGAATTATGTTGTTCAATTTACTTATATCTTTTAAGTAGGCTCACTAATTTTCTTATTGTTAGGCTTTGTATCATTTAAAAAACTCTGTGAATATTCCTCCAGACATTTATCAACACATTTTTATGCGTAATATCTGGACTTTTTATGTTTGACTGGTAAACAGTCCTGGTTTAATGGGAGAAAATTTAATCTGGACAAAAAACACCCCCATCCCATTAACCAGTTTTTATTCCATTTTTATTTTAGTTTATTTTCCAAAAGCTGATAACTCGATTTCTTATAGGGTGTAAAAAATATATCTTGTTGCTAAATTTGAGCCTAGTTTAGTTAGTAAACTTCTGTTTGTCTTGGTTTTTATTGGTTCAGAACTAAAAACAACAGCTGTGTCTGAAGTGACTAGGGATGGGTACCGAATTGGGTACTTTTTAAGGCACCTATTGAATTCCGTAGTACCAACTGAGTACCGATTCACGTCATTTAAAACTGTGCCTTGTTTTCAGTACCCATCCTTCATAACAAGAACTTGTGAGACAGAGATTTGCCAAGATAGACAGCAGCTTCAGTGCAAGAGTGTAATGTCTTCAATCACTGTGAGCGAGCTGTAAACAGAACAAGCAGCACGGCAGAGAGGAAGCGCTCTAAAGTTTGGGTCCACTTCACTAAATGGGGTGGGTAACTTGATGATGATGAAACCAGCAACAACGATCTAAGTGAAGCATCAGCATCTTAATCTGCTCCGGTAGGTAAATAATATGTTTAAGATAACGTTAGCTTCCGTTCAGCTAATGGTGTGTTCGCTTTCTCCTCAGAACTCCAAAAGTCCGACTAGAAGAAAGCGGACCACTCTAAAGTTTAGCTTCACTTCACTAAACACAATGGGTGATGGCAAAACAGCGACAACAATCTAAGTGTGAGCCGTCATGGTCCTAATCTGCTCCACCAGCAAAATAAACTGTTTAAAAGAGTCATCACCTGAAATTTTCACTTTTCTACTTGAAAAAAATTATTTTTCACTGGCTAGAAAGTCATTGTTTAATATTGGATCATTTTGTTACTCTTGGCTTCTTCAACCAGCCCACGTGCACTCCAAAAGGAGATCTTGAGTTCTGGCCTTCATGTTGTCAGAAAGGCCGGATGTACAGTACCATAGGGCTGAGCAACGCGCTATTATAGCCCGCACTGCTCCACTTCCAGAAAAGACGGCCAAAAAGACGTTTCAACTTTCATTTTTGGACCTAGTTGTCTTTGAAAATATAGTAACAATAGTTTGTATTTTAAAATATCAAACCTTTATTGGACTAACACTGTTTCATCAGGCATCCAAATGTTTGCTGGATTTTAACATCATTTTTGGTGATATAAATATTTTCAGTAAAAAATGTGTCAAAGGGATAGCTCAATTAGCAAGACACCTGAGAACAAATCTAGGCTGTGATATCGGATTGTAGTTTGGATTGTAGTTATTTTTTTACAGTAATGATATAGATTTTTTACAGTAATATGACGCCCAATTTTTTTTAAACGTCCAAACGAGATGCCCCGAAATACATTGAATTAACAGCCAGAAAAGACGTTGGTTCAACCATAATTTTGTAACTATTTTTTTAACCATGACGGGATGTCTAATTTGGAATTGCAGTATGTCCAAGGAAGGTCACAAAACTCCCCAAAATAGCTTTCTGTTTGTGACGGTGGCAGGAGAACATTCTGTAGTTATCATGGAAAGATAACGGTTTGCTGTTAAATCAAATAGTCAGTCGTAGTAGAGCCCTTCTGGCCAATCAGAGGCTAGAAAGACGGGATCTTCCTTGGAAATCTCTCAATTCCAAATGATGCGTCTGGCTCTGCCTGTGTTGCTTGTACTTTCGTGAGAAAACATGCCCTTTACAAAAAATGGGTCAGAAAAGCACTTTTTAATTTCTTTTCTCAATAAAAATTATATTTATGACCTAAAAGACTCTAATATGATGTAGATATCCATGGTGATGACTCCTTTACGATAATGTTAACTTGATAGTTTAGCTTCCATTAACATTGCTATCAGCTAATGGTGCGTTTGCTTTCTGCTTGGTAATTACAACTTCCAAGTAGGAAAAGTCAACAGTTTGAAAATGAGCGGCAAAAGGAATGAAGATACAGAGTAAATTTAGTCCACAGCAAAGATGTTTGCATCGGTTTAATTTGCAGTCTCTAATACCACAAGGATCCACCATCACACAGTTTGTCCAGGGGGAAAGGGGAGGAATAGGAGTGCATGGAGCTGAGTTTAGTTTGTGCATCATTTAGAAACAGTTGTGCTTAAAGGTTTTCATATTGAAGAATTGTGTACAACACTACAATGATAGCATACAGTTTGTATGTTATTTATAAAACATGTATATATATATATCAAATAAGAGATTTAAATAATTATTAAACACTTAAAATTATTTAAAAAATTGGTACCTTTAAGTTTATGTTTATGTATTTAGCAGACGCTTTTGTCCAAAGTGACTTATAAGTGATAATCGGCATGTTGCCCTTGAGGCTAACAACAATAATAACAAC